AGGGGCATCGGTGATGTGGAGCAGAGCATTCATTGTGTGCGGCTCCAGTTTGTAGTAGCTGGATCTCCTCCAAGCATGAGCTCTGTGTCACCTCTATGCTCCACCCAGACAGCAACACGCGTTTACATGACCGAGCCTGTTAGTACAAAATCTTAAGATTTACCTTGTAAAACTGGTCATATATTCCTTAATTCAGTAAACTTCCATGTATGCAAAGTTCCCTGAATTTTTCAAACCTCAGACAATATCAAATTCCCCCCCCGGCACAAGAGCTCTGTGATGGTTTTGCCACAGATACAAATGCAGTGTTTACCTCATGTAGTTAAAAGCATGAAGAGCAACGTTCAACAAAACAGTACACAGAGACTGGAAACAACCTCTCTGTGGTCAATCTTTCCACACTGCATCACTGGCACACAAAAAACTGCCTAACCGTATTCCAGATCATCCTTACAAGGAGAAACCCAGCTCAACCTAAATGCGGTGATATTCTAAGAGCAGTAAGGCTTTGAGATTTAAGAATCAAAGGATCAAACTCTAAGCTGTGCTTGGATTCAGAGTGGCTGATGATCCGACCTTAGCTCCTTAACGCCTGGTCTATCATATTGATATATGAGGTTTTTGGGAATTCCATTTTTTAATTCATCATAGAGATACGACATCATTCATCATCAGAGAGAATAAAAATCATCATCTCAGTATAAAAAATAATAATCACAATCTAAATATAAGGGCTCACAAATGTCAGCAGATTCCTGGAGGGAGATAGCTGAAACTACTGAAATGGATGTGAGGGAATGTACGAAGTGGAAAAACCTGAGGGACAATTACGCTCGCCACAAAAAAGAGCCGGGAACCTGGAGGGAAAAAAGTCCCAGCATTTTATTTTTTTCCGTCGCCACATATGAACAGGACCACAGGAACTAATGCACACACAAGCATAAATGTGGGCAACGATGTTTTTTCAGTTTCTTTTCTTTTATGTAATTGGCCTATTTAAAAATCATGTTATAAATGTTACACGTGTGCATGATACACCAAGCTTTCGCACATAGGTTTGTGTGGAGCTTATTTTTCTGGTGTGATGCTGATGTATTGTTTCACAATAGCACACAGCAGAAGTTTTGGATTCTGAGTGATGCTAGTTTTCTTTCTTAGTGTGAGTGCTTTTTCATTTCTGTGGCGCTGTGGCTTTCTGCTGGGACCAGACCTCCAGTCCCTATTGTGGCCAGAGGAGAGGATGTAGTAAATGTTGAGCGAGGATTCAGAGAGGAGTTAGGCTAGAAACATTTTCTGCTACCACTCTTTTCTCAGACACAAAAGTCTTAATTTATCTGTCTGACTGAAAACGTTAAGGCACATTATCTCCGCGCCAACAGAGCTTTTATTGAAGTTGTGACCAAATTGTCAATACGCCAAAGACTGATGATCTGTCACCAGACCAAGGCTATTTCCTGAGGCTGCTACTGCAGTGTTAGCCCGACTCCACCCTGCATAATGTGTTTTTACAGTTTTACAAAACGCCTTGCCACAGAGAAAAAGAAATCATTTGGTAATTTGGCAAAGAAATCATTTTCTTTTAAAGCAATGGTGGAAGCCGAGCTTATTTCCATGCTAAGGTGGATAATTGTAAAAACATGCCCCTTTGTCAGCATGATTCTGTATATTGGCCATTTGTCACCTGTCAAAACAACTTATCAAAACTGTCTGCCTAAATGAACTCTTAAAATAATGACTCTTGGTTTTTTTTGTGGACAAATGGGACTGTTTAGTCAGTGTGTGGACAGCTTTCTGCTGTATCTCTGTGTTCTTATATAGCACCTTTCTGCTCACCTTGAGGACTCAAAGCACTTTATGCAACATGTATCATTGACCCATTCACACACACACACACTCATACATGCTTTCTGTCTAACATGCACGAGTGTGAATGAGCAACTCGAGGTTCAGTATCTTGCTCAAGGATCCAGGAACTGAACCACCAATCTTCCAATTAGTGGATGACCTGCTCTACCTCCTGAGCCACAAAACTGCAGTTATTCAGTTTTTAGATTTGAATACAGCCAATCACTAGTGCTGCTATTAAGCTTTGTTTACTTTGATTTTGTTTCTTTTTTTTCTTCAGGAGACTTTAAAACAGAGGCTAGGCTGGTTAGAAGCGTAGGATAATAGAAAAAGTAGTTTAAAACACAGTGTGGGTGCAGTTTGAACCCACTTGCCTTTTAATTAAATGGTGGCTGTTATATGGGGTTTTGTGGCTTCCAAACCAAAGAAAATATTGCACTTGCCCTTTTGTTCAGGCGTTTTTGCAGGAACACAGATCTCCATAAAACAACCTGGGGGTGGTTTGTAAACTCTTGTTTAATATAAAAATTTTCAAATGCTGCCAACTGAAAAGAGCACAAGTATTGACAGGGTCCCCTTTCACAGATGATTGGAAGTTTTGTTGGCAAAGTCCTCCAACCATTTGTAGTACCATGCCTACTCATGGCTTGCGTAAGTGTTGCATCTGGTTAGTTAATCCTGGGAAAGGGAGACATTAATAGCATGATGCTTACATGGTAGATTTGGTGAGGCCAACTCCTGAAATGCTAGTCTGTGTGTGTGTGCATGCGTTTGTGTGTGTGTGTGTGGTTTCATAACTATAACCTCAAGCCGAATTGGGTTGGAAAAACTCATAAAGTTCAGTAACACTTACACCCAGGATAACTGAATCCAGATGATGCTCCTAATAAGAGCTTAAAACATGCTATTCAGAAAGTTGTTTTTTGACTTTCGTCTGTTTACAGCTGAACAAAAGTGTTGCAACACTGCATCAAAGACAATGATGTGGCTCCAGTACGTGTGGTTTGATGGAAGTTAAGAGAAAACAAGCTAATAACACTGCTGGAAACCCCCATCCTTTTTTTCTTTGCAGCAAGTCTGTTTTTTCATCCTCAAAAATCTGGGAGAAAAAAAAAGAGCATCAGTTTTATGTGTGTGTGTGCGTGCGTACATGTGTGAGTGTGTGTGTGTCAGCACGACCAGGACCAGATGACCCAATTTGACCTGACCCAGCCAGGTCTCATAAAAGCAGCGTTTAGGCCAGGAGGCCTGGAGACACAGCGCCACTTTTGTTGGTCTACTGAAGGTGTATTCCCCCCGGAGGCAGAATGAGGGGGCGGGGGTGTCGCTCATTAGAGAGAAAGAAACCAGTCCTTGGCTTGGGCACTCATTATTTCATAGTTTATTAGTGGAAATAAAGTAGTTTCTTTATTTTTATGTATGTTTTCTGCAACCGCTCTGCCCACTCCTCCCCCCCCCCCATACTGCCGTACCACAGTCTGCTCATTCTGTTATTAATGCCATTTGCAGTATGGCTCTAATTAACAGGACTCTGCTCACTTTTTACACATGGCCTGCCAGATGCTTGAAACTCCCTCATATGCCCCCCCCCCCCCTCTCTTTCCCTCTTTTCCTTTGTTTCCCTCTTTTTTCCATCTTTTTCCTCGGCTTTCGACACTTGATTTTTTCTTCTTCATCCCAATCCTTTTATACATCTGGCTTTCATAGTACTGATTTCACCCTTTGAAATCGATTGGTTAAAGAGTCAACTCGAAGTTGCTGCATCTGCGATAGGATTCTCTGTCCTATATTCACTACTTCATTCTTCAAGGTCAATTGCCGCTTTCAATGGCGCTTCGGCATGTGTGAACATTGTGTGTTTTCCACTGATTACTTGCCCATGAACATGATTAAAGTCAAAGAACATCTGTGCGCACTCGCCGCGGCAGCCTGCGTGTCCGTTCTTGACTGTCTCGCCGTGTCCTGCTTTCAGAGAGACATGCATATGCATAAGTTTTACAAAACGTGGCCATTCCACACCGCGCGTGTAATCCTGCACACTTTGTCCGACCTGTGTTTGACATTCTTTAATCGTCAAACACGAAACGGCTTTGTGAAAAACAGTTGCAGGGACTCTCCCTGACTGGTCCTCACAGTGAAGAAAAAACCACAGCAGAGCCAAGCAGTTACAGAAAATATGTCAATACGGGAAATATGACTTTTAAAACAACACTCACTGCGCTGACTTTGTGGCTTTGTGTGTACGTGTAATGTCTACTGTATGTGTGCGTTTGTGGGAGAAAGTGGACGTAAAAGACTTTTTTCCTCTAGTAATCGCACACTGTAGATTAGTTGAATAGTTGGTCCACCCTATTACTGTCAGTGACAGTGAGAAGCACTTTAGTGGTAACACGAATTAAAATCAGTAGCACTACGCTGTGTTTCCCTTTTTAAAGTTGTCAGATAAATCGTTCAGACCGCCACTTCCCGTGAATCTATAATCAGTAATAACAAAGTTAAACCATATTTTTAATACCTTTCACGTTTCTTTTACAAAAGTATTTAGTACCTCTTTATTCAATACTTTGTAGAGGCCCCTTTGGCAGCGGATGCAACTTTTGAGTGTTTTTGGTTTCTGCAAACTATGCGCACCTAAATTTGGGCAGTTTGTTCCGTTCCTCCTGCCAGATCCTCTGAGGCACCATCAGATTGGTTGGGAAGCATCAGTGAGTGCTTTGGCTGGGCTGCTGCTAAAGGACACTCAAACACTATCAGCCAACCTCTAAGTGACTCCAGGGTTGTTGAGGTTGTGTACTTTGGGTCGAAATTGAACTGAAAGGTGAGCTGTTTCCTAGTCTCACCTTGGAACAGGGTTTTCTTCAAGTGTCTTTCTGTATGTCCCTGCTGCTGAAAATAACCCACTCATAGCATGATGCTACAACCACCATGCTTCCCTCTAAAAGGCAGGGGTCACCGGTGGACCACGCACAGTCCACTTTGATCTGTAGATGACCTGAGCAGGAAAGAATCGCTCCCCTTTCCCATCTTCTGTCCAACTACTGTCATTACTAAAAAATACTTCTATTATAACACCAAAGAATTGTGTCATCATGGCTCATTGCAAACTTTCAAATGGGCATCATTAGACCTGGTTTTGGTCCACTGGCCATATGTTTGACACCTATGAGCCAGGTGAGGACCACACAGATAGTGTTTAGAGAGGTCAGTATTCACTCATCACGCTTTCTTTTCTTTTTTTCTCATAAATGCTGTTTAGCAAATACCAAGCTGGCTTCTCTCTGCCATAAAGACATGATTGATGGAGCACAATTGAAAAGGTTGTCCTTCCAGCAGCTTCTCTGCAGAGGCCGTCTGAAGGCCGTTAGTTTTCTGGCCACCTCTGGCAGAGAAGCCTTCTAGCTCAGTTACTTGGTTTGACCAGTTTGATCATATATGACTTTCCACACCTTTAAGAGTTCCTTGGATTTTGTACTGTGAACGATTAAAGCATACATCCAAAAGATGTGTGCCGCACAGCTTCCATGGCAGCTGCTATTTTTAGCTTGCTCCCGAGAAGTCCCCTTGACCACTTACACCGCGCAACTCTGCAATTTTCGTTCTTTCAAACTGATCCAAATTTAACATGAAGTAACATCGTTAGTGATGACAGCGCACTAGCTGACCAACCTTTTGTTCACACCTTTCTCTCTGTAGACATACAGACAGATAGATCGATCAAGACATGACTTGCTTTTGAAGACGAAGCGCTGATACATCCTCTTTGTTTTTTGTTGTTACTTAGAACTAAGTGTGCGTATCTGCTGAATCAGAGCGTTAGTCATACAGTTGTAGTTCAGTGTAGGACATTTGTAAATTCATAATTCTCTCACTGTGCCTCTCACCCACCCTGGGTGTTGGATTCCCATGCTGAAGCAGGCCCAAAACAACAAGACATTCTTTGGCCGAGCTGTATTTACCACAGCCCAACCACAAAGACTTAAGCTCCACCCACTCATGAAATCACGAAGGGGATGGGAGTCATAGAGTAAGATGATATGAGGGCTGCCCTAATTTAACTTTTTGGATGGGCCACAGTGTTAATCCTGAGAGATGGTTAAAGGTGAGAAAAGTTGCACTCATTGAGCACCTTTAAGGCAGTGGAGGAAAAGTGACTTTCTTTTGCTTTTTTCCGTTAAAATGTGAATGAGTAATTATGTGTGTGCATGTGTGTGTGTGTTCCTGTAAAGGGTTAACTTTACCCATGTTGTAGCTGGCCGCTCTCGGGCAGGCTGGCAGGAGTCAGGCTGGCAGGGGAAACAGAGAGACCCTTTATAGTACAGTTCTGCTGATTTAAATCATATGGCATTGCCTAAAATTATTGCACTACTTGGAAGACAGACAAAAAGAAGGATGAAAGTTTTGTACTCCCCTCTGCTTCAGCTCTCGCAACTGCTTCTTCGACACTTCTGTTTCCTTTTCTACGTCTTTCTCTAATTTGGCTTCGTGGTTGGAGTTTGCTTTTTAGGTATCTCAGGTTTGTGCTCAAAGTTAAAGATTTTTGAATGAATTGATGGGATTGTTAAAACTTTGGGTGAGTTTAAAGTTAATAGGCATATTTAGCCATTCTTTCTTCTCTTCTCTCCTTCTCTACAGAGTCTGGACCTGGCCAGGTTTTGGTTGCTTGCTTTCATCCCTCTTACCTCTCTGTGAGTGCAGACGGGCCCGCAGCTTTGAGGGGCTGAATGGCACTAGTCTGTTTCAAGCTCAGCAGAGGCTCCTGACGAGGAAGAAGAAACGGCATAAAAATTCTGAGAAACGTCATCTAAACCCCCACTGTACTTGTCACGATGGCGGCCAACAGAGAGCACCAATTGCGTCACATGACGGGTTACCCTCGTGCCATGTACCCCTTCACCTTTAACTCCATGCGTAGCCACTCCCCCTTTGACCTGCTGGCCAGTAGTCACCTTTTTGGCCGTTTTGGCGCAGACCTCCCCAAAGAGATGGCTGCATTGTGTAAGTATCAAAGTTTACTATAATTGTTATATGTTGCTCTGAAGATGTGTATTATTGGCAGTTTAAAGCAGTTCATGTGTCCATTATGTTTCTTTAAGCATTTTTTAAAATTGTTTGTATGAGAACCGTGATGTAACCGGTTACTTCACTTATCCTTAAAGCACCACATCATATCTAACTGTCTTAAAAATGCCACAGTGTCACATAATAACAACAGTTTAAACTAGTGTAAAGTTCAGTCAGGAGGCAAGAAATCAGAATCTCACACCCCTACACATGACAAGACAGTGTGTCCAATGTCTGTCTCCTGACCACTGCTTTTCACTGTAAGACATTAGAGACTCCACAGTTTTGTAAAAAAGTCTTTAGGGCCAATTTGAGGTTATAATAAGGCTTTAGATCATGCACTGCTGAAGAGAAAAGAAGAGAAGAGAGTTTTTTCTTGTTTTGTTTTTTAAAAAAAAAAAAATTTTTCCATGTGGTAAACCAGGCAGATGAGGGCAGGCTGGAAAAAGGGAAAAGAGTTTCTTACTTGATCCCTGAGTGAGCGGTGCTAGATCGAGAAAAAGTTCACTTTTTGAGTCACAGGGGGTGCTATTGCACTTCACTGTGACTCGATGACACAGAAAGTCGCTCGAAACGCTGAAATGTAAGGTTTGAACAAAGACAGATGCTAACCGTTGACTTAAAGGATGCAAAGCACTTAATCTGCTTCTTCTGCAACATACTTTTTGTTGAAAAGGACTTTTGTTATATCCACTTTTGTTATTAGTCACACATTAACAAGCCACAAATACTAAATCTGTGTTTTTGTTGATTAGAAAGCTAACCTTTACAATACACAAAAAAAATGTCTTACCTTAGTTTGATCTCTAATTGTCTGCAGAGCACGCTGCTCTATCCCTCTGTTTCAACACTGGAAAGCATTTATAGTTACAGTCTCAAATGCCCTGTCAGGCTGACATCAGGTTTATAAAACCCTGCTGAGCACACTTGTCAATCGGTGTGAGTTTGTGTCAGTGTGTGCACAGATGATGTGTTCACTGAGTTATCTGCTGATCTTTAGTCATTTTCTGGAGCCTCTCTCTACAAGAGGGAGATCTTCAGGCTAATGGCACTCAGGCTGTGATTACATCTTTGAGATGTCGCCTCTGGGACTGTAACAGATACACAGACAGAGACAGAAAGATTTAAGGGACAGCATGAAATATTCCAGATAGATGATTAGCGTCGCATGAAGCTCAGACAGACTGCCAGGTATGCACACTGTATGTAAATCAGTCAAATCGTTTTTGATATATTGGTATTTCAAATTTGTTTGCTAGTGTAGAAAAGACAGAGAAGAAAAGGTGTGAGAAAGATCCTGAATAAAATCTAGGATTACAGTTATGTGGCATTATCAGGACTCTATATGTCATTCCTTAGATTAGAGTTACGTGCACATATCTGTGGTCATTTTAACTTCTGTATAATTTACTACTTCAGCCTCTGTGTGCAAAGTGAAGATTAATATTATGATATATAATATTACATTGTTCAAATACAGTGTTGTGCAAAAATCTTGACTTATCCCTCATCTCTTTATATTTTGCTTGGAAAATGTGAAAGGGATATAAGGATATATAAGGAAAAACAGTTTGCACAGTTCTGACAGGGTTCAAAGTCAATATTTGGTATGACCACCTTTATTCTTCAACATGAATGCTCTTAGTCCAGCTTTCATGTGGTTTCTTTAAGAAACCTTCAGGAATAGTTCTCCAGGCTTTTTGAAGGACATTTCCTTAATGAAATGTCTTCTTGAAAGCCGTCCTTCCACTGAGACCATCTCTGATGAGGCTTCAGTGAACAGAAGATGGATCAGCTGAAAGGTCACGTGCATCTCTCAGATCCTGTGTAATGTCTTTGCTGGATTTTTTTCTATTTCTTAAGGACATGAGTTTCAGATTCTGTTCATTTTCTTTAGGTAGGTTTATCCATTTTTAAGGAGACACCACATTGCAATATGCCAAATTTCCCAAGGTGTATGTTATTGCTGGCATTTTCACGGTTTCAACTAAGGAAATGTGAATAAATGATGTGTTTTTGTGACAGGCTGCTAGTATCAAAGTGCCTTAAGATACAGTTTAAAATTGCTTCTAAGTTTCTGCTTTGTACGTTTAAGTTATGTGTCTTTTCAATGCTTGAATACATCATTGGCCAGTGTTAAGTGTCTTAACAAGCAGACAATAAAAATTCCTCTGAAATGTTCAGTTACAAGATCTGGAGAAAGAATTAGCAGCAAATGTCCACGGAAAAACTTTAAAACACCTTGAGAAAGCCTGGAGAGCTATTCCTCAAGATCACTTAAAAATGACAATAAAGTCTGGCTCCGTGGAAGCAAAATGTGAAGAAATGAATGACACGTGACTTTTTCGCAGTACTGTACATACTTGAAAATACAGAATTTTTAAAAAATGGCTGTAATTAATCTGCAACTGGTATAGTGATATTGTTGTCCAACCCCTCAAATTAAAGCAGAGCTTGTGCTCTTTAAGCCTATACGTGACTTGTCACGCCTGCAGTTAGTGCAAAACGCGGCGGCGCGATTTTTAACCGGTAGTAGGAAATTCGATCACATCAGTCCGGTTCTGGCTTCCTTGCATTGGCTTCCCATTGATTTTAGGGTTCGTTTTAAGGTCCTTTTATTGGTTTTTAAATCTTTAAATGGTCTGGCTCCTGTGTACTTATCTGACTTGCTGAAGCCACATGTTCCTCCTCGCTCACTCCGTTCAGCTGAGCAGCTGCTGCTGTCGGTCCCTAAGTCGCGGCTGAAATGCAGAGGAGACCGTGCCTTTTCAATTGCGGCTCCGATGCTCTGGAATAACCTTCCCCTCCAAATTAGACAAGCGTCATCAGTGCAGGTCTTTAAGTCCAGATTGAAAACCTATTTTTATTCCCTGGCTTTTAACTCTGTAGGAAACTGACACCTTCTTATTTATTTTTTTGTTTGTAATGATTTTATGGTATTTTTAATTTGGTTGTTGTTTTGATCTGTGTTGTTCAGCACTTTGGTCTGCCTGGTGTGTTCTTAAAGTGCTATACAAATAAACGATGATGATGATGATATATTTGCTATAACTGTAACTTTGATTTGTTTTGACACACAGTGTCCAAAAGTATTGAATCAAAATGTTTAGTAATGGCGCAACAAAGTAACACAGAATCATTTTAGTCAGAAAATCTGCTTTTGTCTCTACTGTTTTCTCTTATTAATAGATGGCAGAGACCTAAAACTGTACTGTAGGTTGTGGGTCAGCACCAAAGATTCAGGAATTACTGGTGTTTGTGTCTTTAACACATTCAACCCCGAGATATAAAACATGTATTTACAGAGCAGAGCATCATCAGCACAGTCATGATTCAATTTGAGGCAAAACTTAGGAAGTAGTATACTTCAAAGGAGGTGAGGAAAATAAAGAGATCACCTGTTCAGTCACCACCTACTCCCCTTTTCCTAACCATATGCACATCATTTGGGTTTTTGTGGAGCAGACTTTATATTTTTATAAAAGCACGAGAAGAAGAAGAACTCAGCTGATAAGCTAATGGCCTCAAGTTTGGCTCTCTATTCTCTCAAAAGTCAGAAATGCTGTTGGCCATGTCGAGGAAATTCTTGGTACGCAACGTTTATTTTAAAGGCAGCAAAAAGAGTTGTGCTTGAGTTCGCTCCAAGTCTTTGTGAAGCTCTCACTCTGGTATCGTCTCCTCTCTGTATTGTATTACAAACAAATCGGTGTCTTGGGGCCACGGGTAAAACAGTGTTGAAATGTAAATTTAACGTTTCCACAAAAGATAAAATGCAGAGGAACAAACACTGTAAAGTGCGTGAGTTTCATCATTTAAGTCAGTTTTAGAAGGACACAAAAAATACAAATCCATTCTGTAAACTTTTGTGCTTCACAGAGTTTCACTCGTGGGAAATTTCAGGTTTGTTTGTGCTTCACGTTATCTATATTCTATGTTCAGTGTGCTGACCACAAATATTAAGATGAGTAGAAGTCACATACTTACACTTAATGGTCATTTTGTTAGATACGTGTTTTTAGTTGCTCATTAATGCAAATATCTAATCAGCCAAACACATGACGGCAACGCAATTCATTTAGCCGTGCCGTGGTTGTTAGTGCCAGACTGGCTGTTCTGAGTGTTTCAGAAACTGCCGAGGTACTGGAATCTTCCCACATGAGCATCTCTGGGGTTTACAGAGAATGGTCTAAAAAAGGAAAAAATATCCAGTGAGTAGCAGTTTGTTAAAGGGCCTTGTTGATGTCAGCGGTCACAGGAGAATGGTAACTGCTTTGAGCTGATAGGGAGGCAACAGTAACTTAAGTAAGTGTTAGTTACAACCAAGGTATACAGAAGACCATGTCTGAATGCACACCATGTCAAACCTTGAAGCAGAATGGCTACAGAAGCAGAAGACCACACAAGGGTCAGCAAAAAACAGAAAACTGAGGTTCACCAAAACTGGACAGCAGAAGATCGGAAAAACATGTATTTTCTTGTCATACTTTTGGGTCAGTTCGCACTTCCACAGCCTACACGAGTATTCTTGCTGACCACGTTTGTCCCTTTATAACCACAGAGTTCCCATCTTCTGGTGGCTGCTTCCAACAGGATAACGTGCCACGTCACAAAGCTCCGATCATCTCAAACTGGTTTCTTGAATATGACATATGAGTTCACTGTACTCAAATAGCCTCCACAGTCGCCGGATCTCAATCCAACAGAATACAATGGGAAATGGGAGATTCACATCATAGATCCGCAGCCAATAAATGTTATTACACGGACCAAAATCTCTGAGGAATGTTTCCAGCACCTTGTTGAATCTGTGCCATGAAGAATTAAGGCAAGTCTTAAAAAGGGGGGGGACCTACCCCAGTACTAACAACGTGTAACTAATAAAGTGGCCACTGATTATATTTGTCCAGCGTTGTCATGGTTATTCCTCATCTGTG